GTATGGACCGAAGGGCTTGCCGCAAGAGGACCCCAAGATGACCACGCCGGGATGTAATTCAAGCGAACCAAAACCTCTAATCGATGACAATCCCTGTTCGATTCGTCCACTTATCCGAAAGATCGCGCACCTCCCCTTCCTCCCTGAGTCTATCGGGGAGGCGGTACCTGGTCTCGAATGATATCGCGGTAAAGGTTCTCGTATTTCATCCTCCAATCCATACTCTCCTTGTAGGCTTCGCGTAGCATGGATTCCCTAGCCTCGCACTTCGTTTTCCAGACCTGGGTCTCAGCACGAGCTCGCTGCAGCTGCCGCACAAGGGTTTCGGTGTTTGCCTCCTCGGGGCTATTTGGGGAGTAGTTGCGTCTTGGGGATAAGTTGCGAATTGGGGAGTACACGATCAACGGGCCTTCGTGCTCTCGTGTAATCTCGGCGCCCATCTCTAGGGAACGAGTGTCTGTCTGCTTCCCATTGCGAGTGAAGCCGTCAAAGGTATCACCAGCCCCACCACGGGTGCATGCAGCTGGTGCTTCATGAAGATCGGCAGTCGTGTCACCATTATCTTCGGATAGTGTGACGCCAAATCGACTCAGTCGTCGTTCGAAGTCATACTGTTCAGCAAACCACCGCGAAGACCCTGTACTAGGGATTTGAGGATCAGGACGGATTTGTGCCACAGATTGCGGGAAGTCGATTTTGCGCCGTGCTGGAGATCTCATTGTGGCGGCGTGGGCATGCGGTGGAGATTCTGTAAAATGGGCGTTTGACATGATGCTACGCTGAGAGGATGCTGGATGTTTGTTGGGAACGTAGGTAGAGCTCTTGCGATTTGAGCAGAAACCAAGTGCTTTGTCGCTGCTTCGTTTCCAAGTAAACCGAACAGAAGGTGCGGTGAATACGCGGGTGAGGCTGCCGCGCTATCATTAAGATGGTTGCAAGAACGGTCGCTGGTCATAGCGGAGAAGGTGAAAGCCACTCGAAGCCATCCCAAGCAAATCCATAGCACCATACAAGCACTACTGAAGATACTCTCGCTAGTCGCAATACTGAATTTCTTTTCCAAATAGCCGACGAATGGCAACAGTCTTTGCTGTGTGACCAAGCAATGCCATAGCAGTACGCATATTTTATTTTGAAGCCTCTGAAGCCCAAAGGTGAAGGTGTGTTTGCTGTTTAGTAAGTCGCGCGAACAATGAATGAGATGGACTCGCTGTCGATAGTAGTGCAACTCCAGCGGCAATTCCGCTGGAACATGACGATGGTGGCTAGCCGTCACAACAGAAAGCAGGCAAAAATAAAGGGTGGTGAAGTTGAAAAGTTGGACGGTAGGGTGTCTGACTGGCCAATTTTGTATGCTACTGTGCAGCAGTAGCCGAGTGAAGAAAATTATCCCGTATATACCTCGCCATCTTGTGTTGTTGTGTCCATACAATATTTTGTCGATTTGGATCGTGGTTCCATCGGAGGACTTCTGGTCCTAATCAAGCATTCAGAGCTTGCCCTCCGTTCCATTGACCAAGAGGACAACTGCAGCGTTGTAAAAACTCTCGGGGTTCTGTTTCCGAACCTTCCTCCCAACCAACAGATTGGTATTTGACAGGGGTACTTGCATACACATAATGTAAGGGAATATCACGTGATTCTTCGTTGTGGATCCACTAGAAGATCTACCGGTTACTTGACCATCGATATCATTGAGGTCCTCAATGTCGTTATAGTGAATGCCTTAAGTGTGGCCCGTACCGACTGATCTTGACAGCTTTCGTATTGGAAAGACCATGACTGTGGAGCAATGCTGGTAAAGATGCAGCGATGGAGCCGATAAGACAAGCTTCGACGTTTTAGCGCCTTCCGTACCTGCCGCTCTTCTGCGCATCAAGCAAGCGCTATCCGCCATCGCGTCACCCACCAAGACTTGGGATTGTGCACATGGTCTTGCAGCGCACGCGATTTCGCTTGTGCCACTGGCACCTTCCATTCTGATGATGAGGCTTTCCCGCAATCTCGCGGCAAACAGGAGAAACCAGTTGAAAGCCTCCTTGAGCCGGCCGCCGGGTTACTTGGATTTCTTGGTTTGTGCTTGGCAAGCACGACCAAATGTCTTGACAACTGCCTCTTATGGCAGCTGCATGTCGGGGTGCTCATTAGGCGGACATGTACGACCAGGACTACATAAATCGCTGCACCGCAGCGAAGGTTCGCGTGCTCGAACGCCCCTCTTGTTTCGCAAGTCGTAGTGTTTCTTACGATGCGTTCGTTCGCGGTCATTGCTGCGGCTCTGCCGCTCATCCAGGCCATTGAGCCACCGAGGCAGCCTCACCAGCCACTCGGAAGCAGCAACTCCACTCTGCGTCTCAATTACAACATCACCACTGATGCGCCTGGTCGTTTGTCCGCATCCACCAGGGCATTCAGCTGGGTCAGCACCGGTGCAGATGGCGATTACATCTACACCGGCGCCGATGGTTCATTCCTCTTCGAGAATGTTGCGACTGGCGATTCTTCGACGTTTCTGTCTGCTGACAAGGTTCCGGCTGATTACTGGGACTTTTTCATCTCCGGTGATGCCAGCCACGTTTTGTGGGCCGTAAATTACACCAAGGAGTACAGGTAAGACAAGCCTACAACTGCGACATTATGGAATTGACTTTGTTAGGCATTCGTACTATGCAGACTACCTCATCCAAAATGTCGAGACTGGTGAGACCATCTCGCTTGACCCTGAGTCCAATGGCACTATTCAGTACGCCGAATGGAGCCCCGTCTCATCTTCCCAGATTGCCTTTGTTAAGGGCAACAATCTCTACGTCTGGAACGATGGCAACATCACCCAGATTACCGAGAACGGCGGCCCCGATTGGTTTAATGCTGTCCCTGACTGGGTGTATGAGGAGGAGATCTTCGGCGACCGCTATGCTCTGTGGTACAGCCCTGATGGCGAGAAGATTGCTTTCTTGAGCTTCAACGAGACAGGTGTCGGCACATTCCGCATTCCCTACTACATGGATGATGCTGCGGTCGCCCCCGTCTATGCTCGCGAGCTTGAGCTGCGCTACCCCAAAGTCGGCACAAAGAACCCCACAGTCGGCTTCAACCTGCTCGATGTAGCCTCTGGCAAAGTCGAGACCGTTCCTATCGACGCTTTCCCTGAGGACGACCTTGTGATCGGTGAAGTCAACTGGCTCACCGATGCTCACAGCAAGGTCATCTACCGTGCATTCAACCGAGTCCAGGATCTTGAGAAGTACGTTCTGGTCGATGTCGATGCGGGGACCTCCTCTGTTGTGCGTGAACGCGATGGTACCGATGGCTGGCTGGAGAACTTGATTGCCACCCGCTACCTTGGCGCTGTCCAGACTGCCAACGCAACCTACGGTAACGGCACCGAGTACTACCTGGATCTATCTGATGAGAGCGGCTGGAACCACATCTACCTCTTCCCAGTCAATGGCGGCGAGCCCATCGCTCTGACTTCTGGCGAATTCGAGGTCCTGTCTATCCTGAAGATCGATGCCAAGCGCGGTCTTGTCTACTTCACCTCTACTGAACACCACAGCACAGAGTCGCACATCTACTCTGTCAACTTCAAGACTGGCGAGAAGAAAGCCCTGGTCGACGACTCCGTCTCTGCCTTTTGGACCGCTTCGTTCTCCTCAGGTGGCTCTTACTATGTGTTGCGCTATGCTGGACCCGATGTCCCTTACCAGGAGTTGTACTCTGTTAACTCGACTGAGCCGGTCCGAACCATTGTCGATAACAAAGCTTTGTACGGTAATCTCACCACCTACAATCTGCCCAACATCACTTATCTGGACCTTGAGCACCCAGATGGCTTCACTCTCGATGCCATGCTGCGCCTCCCTCCCAACTTTGACCCTAGCAAGAAGTACCCCATGATTCTCATTCCTTACGGTGGGCCTAATGCCAAGGAGGTTTCCAAGCAGTTCAGCCCCCTTAACTGGAAGGCCTATGTCGCATCCGATCCTGAGCTCGAGTACATCACGCTGACCGTCGACAACCGTGGCACCGGACGCAAGGGCCGCGAATTCCGTTCCACCGTCACCAAGAACCTGGGAGATCTTGAGGCCCAGGATCAGATCTGGGCTGCCAAGGAGCTTGCCAAAAACCCATGGGTTGATAGCGAGCATATCGGTATCTTCGGCTGGTCGTATGGTGGCTATCTCTCATCCAAGGTCGTTGAGGTCGGCGACGACATCATCTCATTTGCCCTCATCACCGCTCCCGTCAGCGATTGGCGCTTCTACGACTCCATCTACACCGAGCGCTACATGAAGCTGCCCGAGGACAACGTCGAAGGCTACAACAAGTCTCGTGTTCACGATGCTACCGGTTTCAAGAACATTGCTGGTGGTGTTGTCATTCAGCACGGTACTGGTGACGATAATGTCCACTTCCAGAACTCAGCAGCACTCGTCGATCTCCTGATGGGCGCTCGTGTCACCCCCGAGAAGATGCAGAATACTTTCTTTACGGACAGTGACCACAGTATCGTGTACAACAACGGCGGAAAGTACTTGTACAGGCAGTTGACCAAGAAAATCTATGAAGAGAAGCACAGGGAGGGTGATTCCAAGGGCAAGCACCAATGGAGCAAGAAGGGGTTACAGAAGAAGTGGATTGCATAGATGTAGCCTGCTCGCTGTTGCGCCCGATAATACTGAATCAATATAACACCTGTTCATGCACTGCATCTCTTTCCCATTGCCTATCCACTACATGGCACAAGCAATACAACTGAGATCAAGACAGCTGACGCCATCTCATGTATATTCCTAGAATAGGTGACGGTTCACATAATGGTAATTCTATTTTTGCCGCCCACCCATTGTCAATTGCCATGGGTTGTTCTTACCAACCCTAGCAGACATGCCCTGATAAATCAAGCTTGCTCTGGCCTGATCCATCTTGTTTGCAGATTTCAACGCTCGTTGTACCCACATAAAGCTTAAAATTGACCTCAAGCCATCAATACAATCTGTGGATGCTTGGTCCAGTGGCAAGACACTCGCAACATAGCCAGCGCCAGGTGAAGGAGACCCCGTAACGGGTGCCCATCAGGGCTGTTGATCGACCCACCGAAACGCTTGGTCATTGCGAGAGACCTGTGTTCGATTCACAGAGCATCCATTGTTTTTGTTTCTTGACTGATAGGTAAATGCGATCTACGAGGGCACCTCCCTTAATGGGGAAAGACAGGGTGCACACTATCGGTGCATTCTACGTCGCCACTTTCCGTCCTCTGCTGGTGCTACTGGGGGATGTCGACTCCGAAAGCAGAGGCCAGATAGCTTCATGGTATCGTCCTAATACTAATGGTCCCGTAGGTGTCTTTCATCAGCTGCTGCCGTGGCATGAATCTAATTCCTTCGAAATGCTCATCAAATTTCAAAGATGCTACCACGTGGCTTTCGGGTTCCATCCCCACGGTCTCTCCCAAGAGCTTAATGACATCTGAGCCTTTTAATTTCGCCATCAAGTCGCCAATCCTCACACCCTCTGCTTTCTCGATATCAAAGTCCCTGCTTCCCCAACGACCATCTTGTACTGTGAAAAGCACTCTCTTGATTGGCGGCTGCGTCAAGAACATCTCCAGACAGGTGGCTTGCGCTTCGTTGGCCATGCATAGCAGCTTCTCAACTGAGAAAGCGAAACACACATAACCTGAGCAGATACGATTTGTGAAGCGCCATGCGGTTCTAGACGACCAGCTGTACACCTTATTGGCCCTACGCGGACCACCAGAGAAGGAAGGAACATTATCAGCAATGATGTATATCCATGGATTGAAGAGATTTCTGAACTCCGGGCGTCGGATGATGCGTATTGACGGCATGTCAAAGGCTGCAGGCGCTTTGGTAGCAATGTCGTGTTCTTCTGCAGCTTTGAATGCCTCGAATGGCCTATCATCTGGGACCAGGAACAATCTCTGTTGGGCGTCCCGTGAACGAGATATCGCCGATGCCCATGTACGACATACACGCCGGCAGGTGAGGAGTGAGCAAAAGTCGAGATGGGGAAGGAGCTCAAATAGTATGTCTGGGAGTAGCAATGCATTGGGCTTGGACGCAGGGGCTGGACGATCCGAAATGAATTGGAGGGACATAGTAGAGATTTTACTGCTGCATTATACTGTGTGAAGGCTTAAATAAATCCCTTGTTGTTGGGACGGCGAGGAAAGCTGCTATGACTGTAGTTGCCATGAGGCTGTGCGGGGGCAAGGCACTTGCGTGTCTGCCTCATCCAGTCAGCTTACGTCTTGACCCATGCAACATCTGCAGAACAAGTTGTCGCATCGCGAGAATACTTTCTCACTTTCGTGTTAGTGTCACGCGGAGTCGTGATTGCGCGCTGTAACGCGTGCCGCGGTCCATGACTACGTCATCGCAAAATGGCCGAACGTATTGAGCCAGTAGCATCAACAATGCGGTCTCTTGCCCTCAAATTCAACACTGTGATCCAGGCGGAAGTGATCAAAACAATCCTGTCACAGTCGCAATGCCTGCTCAACCACTGACAAAAGCACAACGCATGTCGTACCGCATCGCGCGGGGCGAGATGGGCGTACTCACTTTCGAGCCCTACAAATCAGAGATTCTTCCTTCGTGGCGATTTAAAACGCCCGCTATCGCACGGAAATCTTCAGCTGAGATATATGCCAAGTTCCTTGCCTACAACGAAGATGACGACTTCATTGGTATGGACATGTCACGAAAGTTTCTGCAGATGGGCATGACGCGTGCGAAGCGGTATGCGAACCACAAGGGCGGCAGGAAATACGACAAGACTACGGGTGAGGAGCTAGTCAAAGATGAGAATTTCAAGGGCAGGGATGAGAAGCTGGAGGCAAGCCTTATATTCAAAGAAGTCTGGGAGAAGGCAAAGAGTCATGACGGATATCAATCGAAGAAAGAGAGATTCACGAAGGAGCAAAAGGAATGGGATAAAGCACAGAGAAGGGCTATAAAGACGGAGATCAAAGGGGAGGATGATGCTGAGACCAAGGAAACGATCCAAGCTGCGAAAACGAAAGGAACGAAAACAAAAGTCAAGACTGAAATTAAAGAAGAGGAAGATGAGTGACGGCTCCTGACAGCTCGTACTCATGCGTTCATTAAAAGCTTTAAGAGCAACATGCTGGGTATCGCATCGATTCCGTTAAGGTATCATCCGGCAACGCATCGCCAATAGTAGCTGGACCGACAGCAACCCTAGCCTCACAGCGAGACCTTTGCCTTCTTGTTAAGATGTTTATGAACCAGGATGTACAAGGGCAGCATCGTCTTTAGCAAAGCAACACTGTCAACATTCTCGAGAAACTAGAGGAAAAGCATCCGAGAGTGAACGCAGACGTCTGGCAGTTGACCGGAGGATTGACAAAGGGGGCAAATGCTTATTTCGGCCAACAGCATTTGCATATGTATCAAACGATACCTGCTGTACGCCTCTTGGCCCTGCACAGTTGCGGCACAGCATGTCTCCGACGAGAGCAGCGAGACTCGCAACTTAGCACCACGCTGCGACGTCCCATGTTCCGCAATCGCAGCGCCGTCGCCCGTCGTCCCAATAAACTATTGCGAAGATGCAAGTCACTCAATGTTGTGGCGTTGCGGGAAGCCTAAATCCGGCTATGCGGACTATTGCAGAGCGAATCGGCAACAGTGCTGCGCCGAAACGACAAGAGATTGAGTAAACTCGAAGATACACCACGATAGACAGGCTTCGTCTATCATTCACGTGGATTGTCCCTGACAAAGCAGCCGGTAGCAGGCCGACAAGCCACATCTTCTTCACCAATCTCCCGTTACCTTACCGCCCTTATCATCCTTACATATGCGCTATACCTAATTCGGACGAACCCTTATCAAGACCAAGCCTCATGCCACCACTCTCCAGAAGGTGCCTATTCAGGCAATTCCCGATTGCGGCTCGGTTGAACTGGCCTCATGCTCACTGCTGGTCGATGTGATTGGCTTATTGGTCTATTTCCCAAGATTCGAATACGATCCTTTGGCGACACAGGCTCGGCTTCGACATCCAACATGGGATCTGGGAGGATTCTGCTTATCAGTGCCAAGCGGAGTGTTCTGGAAAGAGTTGGGGGCACAGCTCGACGGCGGAAGAGGGGAATTACTAGCCGGGGAATGACTCCTTCCATAATCACGGTACGGGCTATCCACGTCGGCGGTATTTGACGAGCACTTACTCAAGACCGTTATATGAGTGGAACGCCCCCTGTAGGGATTTGTTCTTTCCTGTGCACCCCTCCTGTTCAGTTGCTGCAAAACAAATACTGTAGGCAACATGGAAGCACCTGCGGCGGTAAGTAGCCCAGTCGCTTCTATATGCATATGGTACAACATTAGAGACTGATACTTTTACAGCCAGAGTTCAATGAGGCAAAGCCCAATGGCGGCAACCCCAACATCGAGAATGTCAACACTCAGTACCAGGGACTTGAGTACCACTACCTCTATCTTATTGTGATGTCGTTTCTAGTGTGGCTCATCATCCCTGGTATCGCCTTCCTCTACGCTGGTCTCGCTCGTCGCAAGTCTGCGTTGTCACTTCTGTTCCAGTCTCTTGCAGTCATGGGAGTGTAAGTAGGATCCAACGTTCGCGACGACGTAATACTGATCTTCCAAGTGTCTGCTTCCAATGGCTGTTCTGGGGTTACTCGCTCGCATATTCGCGCACTGCCAACCCCTTCATCGGCAACATGGACAACTTCGGCATGAAGAATGTCATGTCCGCCCCTTCGCCTGGATCTGCCTTCCTTCCTGAGATTGTCTTCTGCCTGTACCAGATGCTTTTCTGCGCTTGCACAGTTCAGCTGGTCATCGGTGGATCTTTTGAGCGTGGCCGTATCATGCCATCCATGATCTTCGCGTTCTGCTGGGCCACTGTTGTTTACTGCCCCATCGCATCCTGGACTTGGAACTCAAATGGTTGGCTGTTCAACCTTCCCAGTCTCGACTTTGCTGTATGTTCACTACAACATCCTATAATCGTACCGGACCTTGACTGACTCTTTCAATAGGGAGGTGGACCTGTCCACATCGCCTCCGGCTTCTCCGCACTTGCTTACGCCTTTGTCCTCGGCAAGCGCCTTCCCAAGGGTGACAAGCTCCACAGCCGCCCGCACAACCCTACTCTCGTCTTCATCGGCACTGTGTTCATCTGGTTTGGGTGGTTCGGTTTCAACGGCGGTTCGGCTCTGAACGGCACAGTTCGTTCCATGCTCGCTGCCTTCAACACCAACACAGCCGCCTCCTTCGGAGTCCTTGGCTGGGTCCTCGTCGACTACATCCGCACCAAGGGCCACTTCTCCGTCGTCGGCGCATGCTCAGGCGCCATCGCCGGTCTCGTTGGCATCACGCCCGCAGCCGGCTACGTCTCGATCTGGTTCGCCGCGCTGATCGGCTTCATCACCGGCGTCGTCTGCTCGCTGTGCCACAACCTTGACAAATGGATCAAGATCGATGAAGGCATGGATGTCTTCAAGCTGCACGGCATCGGCGGCATGGTTGGCTCCTTCCTCACTGGTCTCTTCGCGCAGTCCTGGGTCTACGACCTCGATGGTATGGGCCCGTACGACGCTCTCGGCGCCATCGACGGCAACGGTATCCAGGTCGGCTACCAGCTCGCTGAGATCTGCGCGATTGCGTCCTACTCCTTCACGGTGTCTTGTATCCTGTTGTACGCGCTCAAGTTCATTCCGTTCCTGCATCTGCGTGTCAGTGAGGAGGCGGAGATGATGGGCCTGGACCTTGACCAGTTTTTCGAGGAGGAGATCGGTGACTGGAGCATGATGCACCAGAATGAGTACACTGCCAATGTGAGCAGTGCTAGCAGTGGTGTCAACCACGAGTCTACGAAGGCGAAGTGAGTGCTTTGTAGCGGGTAGGAGCATAGTCCCGGGCAAGGATATTCTCTGTGTCTTTTTGATTGCTCTCTAAGGGCAGTCAGTGCATAGTGTACAAACTCAGCTTTGAGTATAGTCGAATACAGACAAAATCAATCTTATTGCTACAACCAGCACTTACAACACCGTGAATTACCGTAACCGCCCTTTTAGTTATAACTTCCCTCGCATTCTACTATTGCATTCTCTACCCACCATCTCAGCA